CAAATAAACAAATCCCTCATTTTGTGACCGTAGTTATTTCTATACATTTATATTCCAGAGATTGTAAATAAAATAAAAAAAATGATATACCTGTAAATTTAAAAAGTATTTCATTGATTGCTTCGATTTCTACGGCTTATCAACAATCAAGAAATTATAATGTGGATATAAAATGGGGGATCAATTCTATATTACAGTCAATATAAACTGATCCCTCACTTTGTAGCCACCATAGTTTCTATACATTTATATTCCAGAGATTGTAAATAAATCTATAAGACGTACCTGTGTAGCTAATCAGTATTTCATTGAAATTATAATGTAGATATAAGGTGGAGGATCATTTTTACATTACTATCACTATATAAACTGATCCCTCACTTTGATTCGTTTTCTACGGTTTTTCAAATCTTTGCAGGTCATTTAAATATTTTCATTTAGTAAGAGTTTTTATTTTTAAGATAATGATGGTTTAATGTAAGCAATTTATTTATGCTTTTTTAAAAAAAAAATATTTTGTAGTGACACAAGTCTTACTAATTAACCCATGGCTTGGGGGTTAGAGGTAGATTCATACACAATCAGAAACTGATTAACAAACAAGAAAGTGTAATGTGGATATAAAATGGGGGATCAATTCAACATTACAGTCAATATATAATCTGATCCCATACTTTGTGGTCACGGTATTTTCTATACATTTAGATTCCACAGATTGTAAATAATTCTGAAAGAGATGACTGTGTAGCTAATCAGTATTTCATTGATTGATTGGTTTGTTTGCTATGGCTTATCAACAAACAAGAAATTATCATGTGGATATAAAGTGGGGGATTAATTTTGCATTAAAATCAATATATAAACTGATCCCTCAGTTTGTGGCCACAGTAGTTCCTATACATTCTTATTCCAGAGATTGTAAATAAATCTAAAAGACATGCCTGTGTAGCTAATCAGTATTTCTTCGATTCATTGGTTCGTTTTCTGCGGCTTATCAACAAGAAATAAATTATATTGAGGATATAAAGTGGGTGATCAGTTCTACATTGCAATTAATATATAAATTGATCCCTCACTTTGTGACAACGGTATTTTCTATACATTTATATTTCCAGAGAACGTAAAACAATCAAAAAGACATACCTGTGTAGCTAATCAGTATTTCATTGAATAACCGATTCATTCTTTCATCTTCTACGGCTTATCAACTCTTTACAGGTTAATGCCAGAATTTTTAAAATTTTTTTTGAGACAATGGTTTAGTGATAAATATGTTACAGGATTGTAAATACACATTGGGGTTTCGAGCTTATTTTGTCTGACGTGTCATCTTCAGAGTACTTCTACAGGAGTCGCTTAATTTTTGTACGTTGTATATAAAATTTATATTTATATGTATTTATATGGTAGACTCTCCCGTCGTTTACGATGTATGAGGGTCATGCAGCTCAGTTCCTAGGAACACACAGCCAGCACCATATGATTTGATTATACTGGTGAAGGCTTTGTGCAGAACCAACCATCCACACTTTTTGAAGCACTACTTACCACAAGGTCCCCAAACGACCCTCCCCAAGTTTTGAATTCAGAGTTCTCCTTCTCTTAGACTAGTTGCCATCCAAGACTATAGAACCCAATCTGTCCTGCTATTTATCCACAGCTGGAGGGAGAAGAAGAGGTTTAATAGCTTTCTCAAGGGTATTAACATGTAAATGAATGTAATGGATTCGACTGGAATTCGAACTCGGCTCTCAGATTCCTCAATCCATGCCGCTATCCACTGCTCCACCGTGCCACCTCAACATATAGTTGGGGCTAAGGTTCTCGGTTGACATGAAGTGGAAAGTCCGTACTGAATCCACTGCTAAGAATATAGTTTCACTGTGTCGTCTAAGACAATTTTTCTCTCCAGTATCTATCTTACATATCTATAAGTCTACCATTCGTCCATGCTTAGAATATTGTGCCTTCTCGGGCTAATGTTCTCAGCTGACATGAAGTGAAAAGACTATATTAAATCCATTGCTACGTCAGTTGCTAAGAAAGTTGGTTCACTGTATCGGGAAAGACAATTTTTCTCTCCAGAATCTATCTTACATATCTATAAGTCTACCATTCGTTCATGCTTAGAATATTGCTGCCACATATGGTCCAGTGCCCAGCGATTTACCTTGAGCTCCTTAATAAAATCAAAAGAATAATCAGCAATAATAATGGTCCTGATCTGGCAGCACAGATTCAGTCACTTTCCAACCGCCGTAAGGTTGCCTCTCTATGCCTTTTTATAAATACTTTCATGGTAATAGCTCTTCGCTATAAAACCTACACCTTTTTTTTTACTTTAAGCGCAGTACTCAACTGGTGTCTATATCTCATTAATTTACAGTTAAGCTAGTTAAATGTAGCAGAAACTTCTATGTTAACAGTTTCTTTTCTCACACTTCTTGCTTGTGAAAAGCCCTTCCGGTTCCATGCATTCTCTAATCTTGCAATGTCAATCGCTATCTACTCACCTCCTGATTACTCTTTTCTCTTCCCGCTCATTATTAATGTTTCTGTTCCTAATTCTTCCACACCCAGTAACCCTTTGTATCTTAGTGGCTTTACTGCCTTCCTTATGGAAGGCCCTTTCGACTCCCTGCTTTCTAGCCAACTTTAATCTTCAAATATTTAAATGCAATGTCAATCGCTATCTACTGTTCTCCTGATTACTCTTTCCTCTTCCTGCTCATTATTAATGTTTCTGTTCCTATTTCTTCCACATCCTGTAACCCCTTGTGTCTTAGTGGCTTTACTGCCTTGCTTATGGAACTCCCTTCCGGCTCCATACTTACCAGCCAACTTTAATTTTCAAATATTTAAATGAAATGTCAATCGCTATCTACTGTCATCCTGATTACTCTTTTCTCTTCCCGCTCATTATTAATGTTTTTGTTCCTAATTCTTCCACACCATGTAACCCCTTGTGTCTTAGTGGCTTTACTATCTTGCTTATGGAACTCCCTTCCGGCTCCATGCTTACCAGCCAACTTTAATCTTCAAATATTTAAATGCAATGTCAATTGCTATCTACTGTCCTCCTGATTACTCTTTTCTCTTCTCGATCATTATTAATGTTTTTGTTCCTAATTCTTCCACACCATGTAACCTTTTGTGTCTTACTACTTTTACTGCTCTGCATAGGTTGATACAGATCATTATATATATATATATATATATATATATATAGAGAGAGAGAGAGAGAGAGATTTCACGGGTGGAGCTACAGGGTAACATTTACTCGAAAAATGACAAGATATTTCTTCAGGAATAATCATTTACTTTCACAGATTCACCCTTTTCTATTCCTCGTTTTGAGTTGAGTTTTTTTTTTTTTTTTAATGATTTGATGCATCACCAAGAGTTTGACAAGAAAAATCCTTTTTTTTTTTTTTGAGAGAGAGGGAGAGAGAGATTGATTGATGAGAAGGAGCAACCTCACCTCAGGTCTCTTCACCCTAGGCAAATTCACCAAGGTGAAGGCTTAAGAACAACGCTGCGAGCAGAGTAGTGGATTACCCATACCTATTATTCATTAATAGCCTCAGTGGAAGCCTCTCCATGAAAAGAATGTAGAGAGGAGAAACACATTTTTAATCAATAGAGAGACGCCTTTGCGTTCGCCAGCATGAAAAAAAAAAGTCTTTATCCATGGGGTTATTGTCATAAGCATGACAGGTATATAAGAAAGATATTATAATCATAAAAATTTTGCATGAAAAGGATAGGCAAATAACACTACCCTGTCAAAGTATATATGGGAATAAAAGGAAAAAATACCACAACCATCATTAAATGTCAAAAAATAAAATCATGCCCATCATGCGGTGATAATGGCAAGAATTGCACTCTCTACTCTGAAGAAAAATCAAAAAATTTCAAAAATCAAAATAAATCATTAAAGAAAACGATTGATCGAGAAGGTAAATGCAGGCATAAATAAACATCATTTAATTTGTGATATAAAATCAGATTTTTGATTTGCTAATAATCAAATCAATCTTGAGGGGAAAAAAGGTTTTAAAAAAAGAAAGAGCTACAAACATGAACTTCTGTCGACAAAAAATCGCACAGATGCAGGTCTGAAGCCCAAAGAAAAAAAAACCGATACGAGTAAACAACTAACAAAAGTGCTCAATACAACCGTAGAGCAGACATAGATAAACCTAGTGAGCCAAACAAAATAAATATGCGTTTCTCTTTGCCTCGTCAGCCTTACTTTCCCTGACGATCCGTTTAGGTGAAACCTAGGTAGGTTTGTCTGGTTCACTAGGTGTATATATATATATATATATATATATATATGTGTGTGTGTGTGTGTGTGTGTGTGTGAATTCTCTAATAATCAACAAACAACATTAAATTTTTACATTGATCACATATGCACCACACTATCTCACACAATGTCCTGAAGGGACACGGCACATAGAAGAAGAAGAATGAGTTTGAGTAAATGGATGACGGACCAAGGTTTAGGAGAGATAACAAAAAGACAAAATTTATTAAGAGTTACAAAGGACAGGAAATTGTGGAGAGCCATGATCACCAATGTCCTGAAGGGTCACGACCCATAAAAGAATAATGAGCTTGGATAAATGGATGGTAGAACAAGATTTAGGAGAGATAAGAAAAAGACAATATTTATTGAGGAAATTGCGGAGAGCCATGAATAAAGAGATCTGAGAGGTTCCTAAAATAGTTCCTAGTAGAAAGATTTTACATGACGATCACTGACATTAACCAAATCTTTTCTTTAAACTTGTATATTTACGCAGCAATCTTTTTTAATGCAAAATTTTTAAGCCAAAATGAAAAATTACTTGAGTTTTTTTTAATGTTTTTCTTGTATGTGGACAAGTGTTTTTTTTTCTGGAGTGTATGTAGAACTTAAGCAAATGTTTCTTCATTTTGAGCATTTTTGACTAATTTATCTACGATAATAAATGGGATGTATTGCAGACTGGCAGACAAATAGGTGCGAACCGGCCGAGACAGACGACGCACGAACCGGCCGAGACAGAGAGACGCACGAACCGGCCGAGACAGAGAGACGCACGAACCGGCCGAGACAGAGAGACGCACGAACCGGCCGAGACAGAGAGACGCACGAACCGGCCGAGACACGAGACAGTCGACGCACGAAACGGCCGAGACAGAGAGACGCACGAAACAGACGACGCACGAACCGGCCGAGACAGATAAACATGAGTTGACTGAAATAGATTCACAAATGTACATTTTTATTAACTACCACTCCCCATAAATTTTTTCCTGAATTACCTCTTCTACGATAAAGTGCCGGTTAATGTTCTCAACTAATGAGCCGATCAAAGAGTGAATTATCTTTCATTAGCATTATAATTAGTTTTTCCTTTCTTCAAGAGGCTGGAACATGAGGTTTCTTTTGAAGAAAGACTTTGGTCGATATAACTGATCTCTTTTTTTTTTTCTCCTTTGTATCATTTTTTTAAAAATATATATCTGACTAATTTAAGAGTGTCACATTTATTTATTAAAAAAATAATTAAAAAAAATCACCTTTATAAGTATTTTATTCATAGTCTTTCTTTTAAAAAACTAAGTAACTGTCCGTAGAACTATTTTAGTCTTCCATCAGTATGGCTGATGCTAACCTCCAGGAGAGCAAATCATTGCGCTTTCTATGTCCCGCATGTTTCACTGACATGAATTGAAGTGATTATATTAAATCAATTCCTAGGTCTGCTGCTAGAAATCATGCCGAATCAAATGGTGGTTTTTCTTACAAAGGGGAATGCAGATTCGATCCCTGATGTGGAACCCATTTTCTTTATTAAAAGTTCTCATATGCGCAGGCTGATAGATGCAAGACACACTGTTTGAAATATGAATAAAAAACAGGACGTCTACTACAAATACGATTATCCACTAAATAATAACGTTTAATATCTGTCTATATCTCTGAGATGAGGGATTATGATTACTTGCATTATTTACATTATTCGGACTGTTATCCTCATCTTCGTTGCCATATTTACAACATTTCGACCGTTGTATGCTCCGGCGTTCTTCAAGTGATTGGAATTTCGAACTGAACCTTTTATTTCGTCCACCGGGGTAGATTGTTGAGGACACATGGCCCAGTGGATAAAGACGTTGGTTACATCCAGTGGTTAAAATACCAGGCCACAACAGTGGTCAACCAAAATACTTGGATAGTTGAGTTAAAGGGAAATAACTGCGACATCCATAAGAGGCATGGTGCGTGGAACTAGAACAATCACCCCCAGTGGACGAAATAAAGAGTTCGGTTCAGAGATAACAAAACGACAAAATTTATTAAGAGCTAGAAAGAAGAGGAAATTGTGGAGAGCCATGATCACCAATGTCCTGAAGTTTCACAGCACATAGAAGAAGAATGAGTTTGAGTAAATGGATGACGGACCAAGGTTTAGGAGAGATAACAAAAAGACAAAATTTATTAAGAGCTACAAAGGAGAGGAAATTGTGGAGAGCCATGATCACCAATGTCCTGAAGTTTCACAGCACATAGAAGAAGAAGAATGAGTTTGAGTAAATGGATGACGGATCAAGGTTTAGGAGAGATAAGAAAAAGACAAAATTTATTAAGAGCTACAAAGGACAGGAAATTGTGGAGGGCCATGATCGCCAATTTCCTGAAGGGACAGGGCACATGGAAGAAGAAGAAGAAGAAGAATGAGTTTGAGTAAATGGATGGCGGAACAAGGTTTAGGAGAGATAACAAAAAAGACAGAATTTATTAAGAGCTACAAACAACAGGAAATTGTGGAGAGCCATGATCGCCAACGTCCTAAAAGGAAACGGCACGAAGAAGAAGAATGAGCTAAAATAAATGGATGGCAGAACAAGGTTCATGTGAAATAACAAAGATAAAATTTATTCAGTGCTACAAGGATAGAAAATAGTGGAGAGTCATAATCAACGCCAAGTTGTCAAGCATGCTGTATCAAACGGTGGTTTCTCTTACAAAAGGGGACACCAAACCTTGTCTACCTGTAGACTCGTGTATAAAAACCCGACCGATGCTTAACTATAGAATCAAGTACAAAAATCTGAGCAATGTATACCTATTGACTCAAGTACAAAAATCTGAGCAATGTATACCTATTGACTCAAGTATAAAAATCTGAGCAATGTTTACCTATTGACTCAAGTAAAAATTCCAAAAAATCCTTACAGATAAAAGCAAGTACAATACCTGATCGAAGTGTAAGTGTCAAAAATAAATTCTAATTTTGTTTACTTAAGGTCTAAAACCTAAGCAATACCTAATTAAAGACTTGATTATAAAACCCCGACCAATGTCTACCTGTAGACGCAAATATAAATATCTGACCAATGTCGACGTATTGACTCAAGTAAAAATTCTGAAAAATGCCTACTGAGAGAATCAAGTATAAGACCTGACCAATGATTACCCATAAATTCAAGTTTATACACACGATTTTCTACCTACAAACTCGAGTATAATAAAAAATCTGATTTTGATATGGAATAACCTCGCAAGTTTTGATATGGCCGTAAATTTCACCGTCCTAAACCTACCCTTCTGAACTTAAAACTGAGATGGGTAGAACGCGGAGCAAGTAATTTTACCAAGTAAGACCTTAGTTACTGTTAAAACTAAGACTGCATTATTTGGTGTGGTTTATTGCACAAGGGGAAAAGAAAAATAAATTGCATCGAAACATGATTGTAATTTCTCGAACCAAGATAATACCAACACGTAAAACCAGTTACCATCTCCAGGAAATAAGAAGAAAAAAAAGAAAGAAAGATTTACAGTTTACCAAAACTTTCTGGAAAAATCCATACAAATTGTATTTGGAAACTTACCTAAAAAAAAAGAAAAAAATCCTAAGAATTAATATTACAGTCTTGAACTTTGGCCAAGATGGTTTAAAGTTTTGATAAACATAAGCTACAAAGAGAAGATGAAGGAAACGAAAAGAACGAACAAAAAGGCAATGTTTTAGAAGAATCATTTTGTCGTTTAAGGTCTTTTTCTATCAAGTCTATTAACTACAAATTTTGTTGATGGATAACAAAACAAGAAAGTTGAAGAAAGAAAGAAAAAAAATGATGGGTTCAATGCCAATACAAGCAACTCTTCATGAGAACAATCTTTATCAGTAAAAATATTGACTTTAAGAAAGAAGTCGATCAGAGAAGCAAACATACGACGTTACACTTTGTACACTCCTCAAATCATCTTCTTCACTATCTCTATATATATGTGTGTGTGTGTGAGTTGTTTTCAGATAGAATGTATCTGTAAAGGAACAAAATGAATTGAAAGCTTTCGTCTGTTCCTACAGACATCTTCAAGTATAGAATAGATGTTGTTCTTGTTTTTTCTCTTAGTAATAAGAGGACAACGAAAATATATGTATTGTTGTATCCGAAAATGCTATTGAAAATGAGTTATTGTTTTTGGAGCGCGCAGTAGCAACGCTGAGTTTGATTTTGAATTTTTAAAGGTTGTGCGTTCGTATACAAATATGGTGATGAACGAATTTTTTACTGGTAAATTTTTCTGTCAAAGTGGCATGAACTATATTGTTCAATAATTACAGTAATGTCGCACTTATTATCCAAAAGTCGCACTTGGATCAGTTATTTAAATTACGATAAACGTGCAATCAATATTTATGGGATTGGGGGCATACGCCTTATCGTTCGTAAGTAGGCTACAACAATAACCCGCTGAGGTTGATATCATCTTCTAATGACTATTTTTGTTGTTGTAAATGTTGAAAGTCTTCAAGTGATGTGGTTCCTGGTATTTGCTAAAGTTCTTTGCTAGTCTACAAAATCTGACGTCGGACCGACTCAAGACCCACAGGGTTCATTCGTTTGAATCCATTGTAATCAGTGATATGAGAAAAATATTGTATGGAACTCAGAGTTTAGACATTTCTGAAGGAATTGCAAGAAACAAGTTGACAAAAGACATAAAATATATGAATTCAATAATGTTTTCTCAGTCTTTAGGTTTTTCTGTAAATGGGAAAAAATATAAAAAGTCGACAAAAAGAAAAGAAAACTTTGGGGAAATACGTAAACGACAGAAACAAATGGAATGGAAAGTGAAATGATATAGAAAATAAAAAAAGGTTGATATAAATTCTTGCTACTGTTGTAAATAGCACCCCCCCACGCTTCACCTCCAACAAAAAAAAAAAAAAAAAAATGAAGCCTGTCTACTCAATGGCAAAAGATATGAAATACAGGAACATTCAGAAAAGAAATATTATCTGGAACAGCAAACAGAAAGACTGTTTTAAGTTTTTCTTTACTATATATATTGAGCAGAATATATATATATATATATATATATATATATATATATGCTATAACCTATCAACACTATAATATAAATATACATGTGCTGGTGTCGGGCTGTAATTTCACAGAGCTGAGTGTCAGGCTGTCATTTTCGAATATATATATATATATATATATATATATATATATATATATATAAAAACCATTTTGGTGCCCACCAGTCGAGATGCAAATAATGCATCAAAACAAGAATGCATCTTTGTAGTGGGTAATTGTTTTGTCCGCATGTAAAAATCTGTAATAAATAATTTTTTGCTCTATTCTTGGTATTGAGTCCTCTTTTGAATTAATGCTGTAAACGTTAGAATCCACATTATTCTTGTTAGACCTATATATATATATATATATATATATATATATATATATATATAAAAGTGATAGAAATTAGGAGGATTTGAAATAATCATAATATAGTAATTCATCCAGTCTAGAAGAAATCTCGACAGAATGCAGAAAGCGCTGGACGGCCGTTCCGTCCCATATTTCGGACTTATCAGCAGTGCGCATCCACTATCGAGAATTGAAACCCGGACAGTTACGTTATCAAGCAAACGCCATGCCAACTGTACAAACGGACCTCAGTAACGAATAGGTAGCGAATTAGACTCGATATAGCGCCGCTCGATCAAATAGTCAGTGGTGGAACTCATCAGAGTTTGTCGTTTTTACCACAGGACTGTTATGCTGCTATTATATATATATATATATATATATATATATATATATATATATATATATATATATACTATCAGTATAACCCGTCTTTGACCGGGTCTTTCATTACTGTGAATTTTTGCCGTTCAATTGGAGCAGTTCAAGTTTAAAGTCAGCCCAGCCGAAATTACATATTATATATATATATATATATATAATGTGTGTGTGTGTGTGTGTGAGAGAGAGAGTTAGAAAAGGTAAATAAAACCAAAAAAAACGAGAAAGTAAAGGAAAAGAATAAAGAAAAAACAAGAGAAAACGAAAAATTTAAAGGAAAAGAAAAACGAAAGAAAATCAAGAAAAAACGAAAACGTAAGCGGGAAAAAAAGAAAAAAATGAAAAACTAAAGAGAAAAAGGAAAGAAACAAGAAAACAAAATGAAAAACTAAAAAGAGAAAAACGAAAAAGGAAAGCAAAAGAAAAAACAAGAAAAAAACGAAAAAGAAAAGAGAAAAAAAGAAAAGAGAAAAAACGAAAGAAGCAAAGAAAGAAAAAAAAAAGGAAAAGGCAGAGAAAAGAGAAAAAACGAAAGAAGAAAAGAAAGAAAGAAAGAAAAAAGGATAAGGCAGAGAGAAAAGAAAAAAAAAACAAGGGGTCAGAAAAGTGATCAGGAAAGAGTACGACGAAAAAGAAAAGAAAGGAAAAAAAGAAACAAAATAAAAGAGAAAATAAAAAAAAAAGAAATAAAGAACGAAAGAGAGAAAGATCAAAACTCAATGAAGAAAAAAACAATCGATAAAATAAATAACATCAATGAATGTTCTACAACTTGCCCACGGGTGACCTGGAAGCCTGCAAAAACTTGAACTCCCTAATGTACTTTAGACAGATACATGGCGAGAAGTGAAAATGTAGAAAAACGCAATGACTCTAAATACACATCAAATCGAGAAAGACGTACGGTTCCTCGACTGGCATCTTCGGAATAAATCTTAACTCCTAACTATCATTTCTTTTTTCCTGTTGAGAAATATATCAAAAAAAGTGTTTTCTTTTGTTGCTTCACAGAGATCCACACACTTGACAAGGTGGGTGCATTTAGATCTTGACTCGAGAAAGACCGATGAACGTTGAGAGGCAAATCAGTTGAAACCGGAGGAGACGGAATCAAGAAAACAGAATAATATATAGTTGATGGCGCTTTCGTTCTCCTTTTCAAACAACTTTCCTTCAGGTTTCACATCTGAAAGATGTGACAGGGATATAGGTCTGTCCAAACAGAAGTTTTCACTTCATAATGCACGAAGTTGTTTTCTTGTCTGGGTTGGAAAACCAT